GTTCTTGAAGGAAAAAAAATAATTTAATTTTTATTTCAAAAAAACAAACTAAATTCAATATATAAAACTTAAAAAACTTATTACAAAACTTAAGATTATAAAAAAATTATTTAATTTCGTTACTCAAACATATAATAAAATTATTTTTTTTGGTGAAGTTTAGACATTTTTAAAATTTCATTGGAAACTTATTAGTATTGTTAATTAAAATAAACAAAGTTTGAGTATTAAAATGGATACAGTTATAAAAGTTAATGTATTAAAGTGGGCAGAATAATTAGTTGAGGTTTTAAACTGGGTAGTGAAAAAGTTTAGGTATTAAAAAGCTTAATAGAATTTAGTTGGGGTATTTATATGAAATTTTCCCGATGATTTATTTGCTTAAATTTGTGACTAAATTTTGTTCTCCACTCGGCCAAGAAAAAATATTCGTACGATTCCGTTTGTTTACTCATTGGTAAAAAAACTAAAAATAGAAACGTAAGCTATAATTGCTCACTAAATATTTTTTATAATACAAGAAAATATTCCACAATCCACATTCATGTAATTAAAACTACCAAATACTGAATTTAGTTGAATATTCTCGTTGGTATACTAAAAAAACACACCATTTACGCTAGTGGACATAAGGATTATTCGAACGTACGTACTTGCGAATTTATAAGTTTAACAATGCTAATTATTATCCACTATCCATATATTTTAAGAAAATATATAATACACTTACCTGCAGTATATATAATTTATACCTAACCAATAAATTTTATTAATCCTTTTACATTTGCAGTTATATGTATCTTTTTTTTTGTGCACAACCAAAGGATTTGATTAAAGGATTAAACCAAAGCCGCGGTTCAATGATGTAGCTAAACAATCTCTTGCGGATCTTGTATTGAACCAGTTATATGTATCTTATTTGTTGTGATATGCATATGAATGTTGAACCAGTGGTTCGATCTAACAAACTTCGAGTTTGAGCCTTCAAGTTCAGAGATGAAACATTTTTTGGTGTCTAGGTCATGGTTTAGATCTAACAAACTACGAAATGTTTTAATTGTTTTTAACGATCCCAACCTCACCATTTTGTTCTAGATCAACACTTAAATTATTAAATTTATAGTGATCTAGCTAGTTTTGTATGGGTCGCACTTCTGTGCCGGGAATATATACAAAACATGCGGTGTGAAGGTAAGATACTGCAGAATATTATCCTTCTTTTTCAGAGAAAATATAGTACTTGTACCTTTTTATTCTCTTAAACTAATTTGAACTTTAAATTATAGTGGTGAAATGAATAATTCCAATTCTTCGTCATGGTTCATATGGGTCGCAATTTTGCGACGTGTGTAGAATATACAAGGCATGTGCTCCAGAATATTACAAAAGGGCGATATATACCTCATTTCCCTTTGAGAAAAAGTATATATATATATATATATATATAACTTACATTTTTTCTTGGGACAAACGAATAATACCCGAGATTGACAAAATGTGTATAAGCTCAATTGTGGACTTCTCATATTGACTTTTACTTTTGGTGTAAAACTTATAGTAGTATAAGTCTTAACATTTTTGTTACTTTTCCTTTTCACTCTTCTTAGTAGTTATTTATGTCAATTGTCAACGCTATGTTGTTCCTGCGTTCCTATTTTTTCACAGCCAAAATTTATATATTACACATTTCTGTACAATTATATTATGATCACTGTAAGAGTTAACCTCTTTTATATAAGTCGATATTCAAATTTCATGCATGCAAAAAGTTTCTGCCTAAATACGGACGCGTGTATCCCATGAGAACCAAACAAAACGGTCCAACATAGTTTATATAACCCGTCTAAGAAAGTAGCTTCTCTAATTTTTTATTAAATGATCACAATCAGCTATGTTTTCTTGATATCCATTGAAATGATCATCAAGCTACGCTGCAGAATGACGAGGTGAATGCAAAAGTGAATTCAAATTATGTTCTGAATCTTTCGATTCCGGTTGTTAGTTGGATTATGTACGATTCGCGTGATACTAAATAGAGTTCCGGCGAACTAGTTTTATCATGTGAAACTCACGTTGTTTCATTTATATTAGCATGAAAGTAGAGATTTCTTACATAGTCGCATATATAACACAAAATAAGTAAATACATTTGATATATCTTTGTTTGGATGCTCTCTGTTTGTTTCTGGTTTCGGAACCATTTTGGTTTCAGAGGAACCTGCAAAAATATATAAAATCCAAATGAAATTAGAAGTTAAAGACTAAAGAGAGGTAGATCCTAAAAATGAGGAAGCATATTGATAATCATGTTACATAAATTAGGCAATGGAGGATTTTGCAAAGTTAAAGACAAGAGACATGGGACAAGTTATCATCATGTGGGACTTTTATTTTTTATTCTAAAAGGCAAGAAAAGAAATTCAAGGAATGTATTCTTATGAATATAATAGTTAGCAGGCATGGATATAGTGTCCTAATGATCAATTTCAAGAACTTGACACAACAAGCTTTTGGATTTCTCTGTTACTAGATTTTTTAGGCCCCACTGTTAGAAATGGGAAACAAACAAACAGTGGTGTTTACTAATTACTATTAGATGATTAAGATAAATTTATTTTTCTTACTGGAAGTAGGCAGTGAAACAAGATAAGATACATAAGAAAATAGATATTGCATGTCTACTCTTTAAGATAATAATGTCTTATGTAGATGAATAGTTGTGAATTTGTGATCAGCACCATTTTGAGTAGCTTGAGTGCTTTCAGTTCCCATTTGAACGGTAAGTAGGATCCGGATAACGCCCTGACTCAATGTCATTGACATCCCTTATGAGGAGCTCGTAGTGTCTCCTTACTTCATCAGCTGATTTCCCACCAACTGCTCTAGCAACGTTATGCCAACGGTCTGGAGTGTCCTGGTCATATATAGCCAAAGCCCTTTCAAATAGTTTGTTTTCCTTACGTGTCCAAGAAGCGTTAGAACTCATGGAGTTGGAAGCCATTTAGAGAAAAAGTGTTTTGAAAACAGAAATCTGGTTTCTTTGGAAAGATTAAAAGAAGAAAGATGTAATGTATGAGTTGGTGAAAAGAGGAGTTGATTTGGTTAGCTGAGAGAGCGAGAAGCTCCATATATATAGGAAGACAAAAGCATGGTGTGTGGGGGTTAATCCAGTTGGACGAATATATAATATACTTTGAAGAGTGACTATTTTCTTAGCAACCACATAAAGTCTTAGAGAAGGTACACAATTGTGAAACAATCCAATGAAATCTTAGATTCCTTGGCCATGCTGTAGAAAAAAAAAAATATAAGAGGCTATTACCGTACAGTAGAGACTAATGCAGTAACCATGCTTAATACCTCTTTAAGGCATTTGATGTGATCTTAACATTATTAGATTGTAGCATCGGATGCTTATTATAGACACATGAGATTGTTAGATTATGTTTTGATGCTTTCTTGTGATTTCCATCCATTTTGATTGAATTGTCTTTGTAAGATTGATAGGTTCTCTACGCGTTCATTGGTCTAGCTGTATAGTGATATGTCTTTTCAAAATAGTGTCATAAAAGAAACTCCATCTGACTTCTTTCACGGATTCGTCTCATGGCTCTTATAACAAATTTGGTAATGTAATAATGTGAGTGGTCACTATTACATATTGGCTCGTGGGGAGCATCTGTTCATAAGGACACAAACCCGTGCAGGCCTCAGTAAATGAGTAGTGAACATCAAACCCTTTATACATGCATGCATATATGTCTTGATGCTCTCAAACTCTCAAATAGATTTTAGCTTTAAATTATATTCCTCCAATGAGAAGACAGATATCAGACTGCAGTATAATACTAATTAAAAAGTGATTTGCCTTAATAATGAGAGATTAGTCATCTAAAACATGTTCCTCTTCGACCCTGACCACAATAACATTCTTTGAAAACCATAAGAATTAGGTTTGGCTATATTGATATCGTCATTGAACCAGACATATATTAATCTTTTTATTCTGAGAATATTTGCTTTGCTTTCTTTACTAATAACGGGATAAAAAGATTGGTTGATTTTTAAACCTAAGTAAACTTGAGCAACTGCTTTTCTTGTCGACCACTCTTTTTGTAAGAATTTCATGCGTTTGCATGGATGATGGATGTAGAATTTAATACTTTTTCCCTTTTCCATATATGAAATATACTTTCTAAACCATCATAAATTTGTTTAAAGACAATGTTTACATAAATTCTGTAAAAAGTAACTTAAATCTCAATTAAATCATTTTCATGCAACGGTTAAGAAACAGAACTAGGAGAGATTAAAAAAAAATATAGAAAGATAACATTCACCAAAACAAATCAACACAATTTACTTTTAGTTTCTTCATCAAATGTTTACAACTTCTATTGCCTTGTATAATATATATACAGAAACAAAGTTACAAAAGCAGCACCTTTTCGAAGATACTCAGGTGTTCTTGTTAATTTATATATTTATCATCTGGGTGGTAGTACAAGTGGACAAATTCCAAATCTTGGGAAGATCTCGTCGATGAATATTAGCGACGACATATGCGCCTCAACGCATCTTCTGCTCCTTTGTTTTGGACATTGTTTAACTTCTCTTATTCCTCTCCACTTACTATGTTTTTATTGTATGTTTCCACATTATTATTATTGTTTGCCATCTATTATTGTTATAAGATATAATATATATTTTAACAAAAGCTTAAGATATGGACTTTGTTTCTTCTCCAAATTTTTCATATCAAATTTTATTTCTCTTAGTACTCTTTCTAAGGTTTGTGATAAACATTCTTTTGGATGATACTCATCCTCCTTTCAACTTCACTTGCCCACTCAACAACTTGTATTCTTGGAATATTATTTTGGACTCTTTTATTTTGATCCGTACCGTCATTTTTACGCTTCATTGCTTGAGGTATACTCTTCATTGCTTGAGGTAAGCAAGCACTCATGTTACTTACTCTTCCATAAACGTCGACTAACAATTTTTGAAGCAAAAATTTCAGAAAAAATGCTTGAATTCAGCTCTTTTCTATGCATTGTTTGGTGTGGTCTGTGATTGTGTAGGCAACTTTATTCAGTCTGCACATGTTTTAGCTCACCATTAACATTTTCTACCATTAATATAGTATATACCTATGTTTTTAAAAGATAAGAAAACGATCTAAGTTAGTTCTATTTAATTGTGAATCAATGAGATAAATGTTAGGCTTTGAATTATAACCTAGACCCTCGTGAAATGATGAAAAAAAAAGTTACACACGACTTATAGTTTTATAGTATTCTTTTAGTTATCGTAGAAGCTACATGGACCATGTTTTACCGATGCTTATACAAAAGTAAACCCTGTTGTAAAAATCTTCAAAACGTTACTAGTATGCCAAAATCAACACCAAATGATTTAATATGGTATCTTGATATTCAAGTATCATCAGAATTATATCATGTATACTAACTTTGCTCTTCTTTAATCGTTTCGTGAAGGCTGGATTTGATATTTGTACCATAACTCAAAACCAGACATGATGTACACATATTATATTGTTGTTGCTGAGACTTAGACTTTGTATTGTTACTTTTTTCGTGGTTAAATATAAAGAAATCTCATGGTGGCGTAGTAATATATGGAAGCACAAAATTAAGTGCAAACGGAATTTTCATTAGTTTATTACATAGGTCCTCGAATCCAAATACTCTGATGTCATCATATCATCTTAAAACATCATAAACTTTGATCTTTAGTTTGTAGAGATAAAATGTAATTATAAAATCATTCAATTTGCCTTCTGACAGAGCATGTAACTGTCCGAAGAATCATAGTTTAGCTGCAATATTGTTAGTAAAACTAAAAGCCATCAATATCATAATACGCTAAAAACACGATACATACAAAATGAAATTTCAAGTTGTTTTGTGGTGGAAATCTTGCGATTTTTGAGATTAACATTTGACGATTAAAGTTTTTGAATTGATTACAGTTGGAAAGTAGGATAGTATGACTTCGTTATTTGAAAAAAAAAAAAAATCTTATTCAATTGGATTAGCCGATTAGTATACTTGTCGTATATTTTGTTTTTACTTTACATATATAAAAAAAAATTCATGAGATCATTCAATTTGCCTGAGATGAAGATGACTAGCGGATTAGTATACTTGTCGAAGATGACTAAATAAAAAATTTCGATGAATTTTATCAAAAATCTCCCAACGTCACTGCATTTTGGGAATTTATAGGATCATTCAACTTGCAATTGATGGCATTACCGGTGTATATATTTTCTCACGGGCTTAACTTATTCAAAATCTAATACTATTAATGGGTCTGAGGTCCATTCATAATTAAGTTGTGCATTGTGAAATAAACCCATTAGGCTATCTCTGCCGTTTTCTGACGCCACGTTATAAAATATGTAATGCATGGTAACATACTAACAGCGTTACAATTGACAAAAGTAAAAAACATGACAAAAACATCTGACCGAATTATATTTTGTAATTTTCCCTTGAAATATACAAATATATAAAACTAGGTGTTTTGCCCGCCATGCGGGCTTAAGTGTTTTATAATTATATATACTAATTAAATATATTACTAATTAAAATTATAAGCATATATTATTGTTTGTGTTTTCATTTTGAAAATTTTTAATCTTAAAATTATTCAAATATTATTTTTTCATTTATAAAATGAATTTTAATTAATTAATATTTAATTATTTATTTTCTGTTTTTGAATTTTTAAATATTTTATCAAAGATAGCTTTCAGATAACAATACAATATATATATATATATGAATTATCTGTTTAAAATAAAATATATTTTGGATTTGGATAACTCTTATTGTTATTGTTTAAAATAATTTATCTAATAAAATAAATTTAAATTCGTTTTTATATATAATTAATTTATAAAATTTATTCATTAATGGTATAAACGATATTAACCACGCTAAATTTTAACGTGGGAGCCCCGTTACGAAAAATTACTTTGCTTAAGCTTTTTATAATTATTTGTTAGTAAATATATTACTAATTAAAAATCATTTTCAAAATTTTTACTTTTATTATCAATTATTCAATATTATTTTCAATTATGTAAAATTAAGAATTTTAATTAATTAATATTTAATTATTGTTTTCTGTGTTTGAATTTTTAAATATTTTATGAAAAGATAGTTTCAGATAACAATACAATATATATAGGAATTATCTTTTTAAAATTAAATATATTTTTGATTTTGGATAACTCTTATTGTTATTGATTAAAATAAATTATCTCATAAAATAAATTAAAATTCGTTTTTATATATAATTAATTTATATAATTTATTCATTAAGGGTAGAATCGATATTAACCACTCCAACTTTTAACGTGAGAGCTCCATTGCGAAAAATCATTTCGCAAATAATAGTATAGATGCGTAAAACTGTTATAGAAAAGACGCTTGCGCGTTAAAATGTACTTTCACCCAACCTATCTTAGCTATCTATAGACACAATTGACCAAAGAAAACAAAAATCTAAACCTATAGAGCTATACGACCAACTCTTAACGTGTGCCATACCTAAACTAAAACCTACAAAAATATTCGAACTTAGTTATCATATACGAGCGAAAAAAACATCCCAAAAATTAAGTCGATATATTATCTAAAGCGATTGGAAATTAATTAAACCATCTTTTGATGTGAGGCTGAGAGTAGTTGTCGCTTGTCAATGAGTAGGTGGAGCCGATCATATTATACGCTTTGGGAGAACATAGTTATACCAAATAGTTGACTAGAGCTATATAATCCCTAATTAGCTTAACGTTCTTTGATTCTTGGCTACAAAAATATATTAATAAACCGGATAACCCTTCTCTACCATATTAATAATAATTTTGTGATTCGTAAAGTCCAGATGATATATATTTTCAGAAAACTAATCCAGACTTTAAGTTAGAGACTTAGCCCAAGCTCTCAAGTATGTTACATCATAAACAAATTCTTCTTATCGATTTGGCCAATAAGAAGCATGTCATGCATTCACACTGAGATATTGATGTTGTGTCCATATTACGACACACCTTATCAACTTTAAAACAAGTAAACACCCATCATTTTTGGTAAACTTTTTTAAAAAAAGGACATCATCATTTTTTTTTTTTTTTGATCAAAAGGACATCATCATTTTAAGCTCGTGATTATCTTCTACCAACTACTGACAATATTTTACACTATGTGGAAATCATCTATCATCAACTCTAGTACTATTACATAAACTTGTTTTTTGTAACTTGGCATACTATTATATAAACTTTACTATATAAACCCAAGATAACACTTCTTTGAAATTTCAGTTCTTAGATAAATTTGCTAAATTATTACTATAATTTATTCAGCTTTAGGTTACTATACTAGTATAATGAGACTATCATCATAAATTATCATGAACTATTATTCATCACCTACAACTTCATTTAGAAAAAAATATCACAAATTACACTTTGGCATTTAGCAGGTGGATGAAGAATAAAGGTAGACCAGTCAACGGAATGCGACGAACAAAGTCACAATAATTTGCGTTTGCGAAGGCTGTGGACCTGTGGTCATAAGAAAGTATTCTATCTCAATAATCGATTGTGATGTGATTATCCACACTCTTCTCTATGTTGTCAATATTTTCATCTCTTCCTAAGGGTAACTAAACACACTAAATTTTCATAAATTTCGGACTGACTTCAAACTTTGCAAGTGTAATTTTGGTGGCAAATTTCACCAATAAATATTTCGCAATTGTAATTATCAAAGCGACCTAAAATATTTCTATTAAAGACTGACATTATTTGTACGTCTGTTTTGTAATGATATTTTACAGTATGTATAGTTTATTAACTGGTCATTAAAAGTTCTAAATGGCCTATTAGCTTTACTACATTATGGGTGGTTTTGAATACATCTTTTGGTGATAGTGTAGATTTTTTTTGCATGGAGCCACCCTGGGACCCAATTGTTGTGACAATATGTTTTTTTTTTTTCATTCTGACAAGATTATATGATGCAATCCAATAAACCAAAAATGTGAAACTGCCCAACTTGAACGTAATGCTTATATATTGACAATTAACAATAATCACTTATTAACTAGCAATAAAAAGTCAATTTGGATAGGTAATGTTGAAAAATAGTTTATTTATGCGCATATTGACATTTGACAAACAAAGGTGCATTTGACATCATAGAATGGATAATTTACTTTTATTTATTTTTTCTATCCACCATGAAATAGTAAGGTAAAAATGACCAAGATTTACTTAAAACACCATTAGAAAATAGACACCATAAATACATTAATAATAGGACTAGAATAAAACAATCTTAGTTACATCACCATCAATCTCTATCAGAATTCAGAAGTTTCGTATTCTCTAGGGTGAAAAGAAAAGGAAAAAAACAATAAAAAGTTATGTAAAACACTACAAAATATAAAAGTGTGTGTTGCATGGGTTGACCTGACTATTACGAGCACTAAGACCTCGTCCTTTCAATTTAGTCTGCGCTTGACACGGCACACTCACGATGTTAAACAATCCCTCTTTTGGACCTAAACGCGGTCACGTAGGGATCAGTCACAGCCCAATTATTGTTTGTCCTTTTTTAATTTGAAAGCTCAACGATTTAAACTCGGCCGTCATTCACCAAAAGCTGTCACTTTAACACTCGTTGTTCTGTTTCTTTTCTCTGTTCTCTTATCATTTTTATTTTTCTCTAAAGATTCAATATATTTTTCCTCCTTTATATGCTTATCAAACTTGCAGAACTGAGAAACTTGTTGTTTAGATGGGAATTAATATCACTCAACGGATAGAGAAGTTGCCTCATTCCTACAAGGTTGGTTTCAAGAATCTCTTTTATTGTAGATTTTTTTTTGCCTGTAATAACATGTTTTTGGTCTTGCTCTGTTTCAGATGCACTCTTCTATGTGTTTAGAGTTGAAGAGTTTAGTTGATAGGGTCATGAGAATCTTTCCTGATATAGAAAATGCTAGACCTGGATCCTCCACAGGGATACATACTCTATGTTTGATCAACAAAGCTTTGGAGAAAGCTAAGCTGCTTCTTCAATACTGCAGTGAATCCAGCAAACTCTACATGGTTTGTTCCTCTCACATTTTCTTTTGTTTATCTTTTCAAATGTGTATTATTTCAAAGCAGTGAATCCTAATGTGTTGCTTTAATGTTCAGGCAGTAACAGGAGATGCTATACTCTCAAGAGGTTGTAGAGCCAAAAATTTATTAGAGCAAAGTTTAAGTGATATCAGAAGCATGGTACCAACTGTTTTGGCTACTAAGGTTTGTGTACCAAACTATGTTTCTTTTTATTATAAAAAAAAAATGCAGAATAACTGATGGGAGTTTTGCTTGCAGATAACTCAGGTAGTCCAAGATCTTAGGTCAACTGTGTTGGCTCTAGAATCATCTGAAGAAGAAGCTGGAAAAGCTGTTAGAGAACTGATGAAGCGGAGCACATCTTCTTCCTCTGTTTCTTCTGATGAGATCAAAGATTTCCATTACGCAGCACTGAAGCTCCAGCTTTCAACACCTGAAGCCGTTGTGATTGAGAGAAGATCACTGAAGTCACTGCTCTCAAAACTAAGCGAGTGTGAGGTGAACAAGAGACAGATCTTGAAGTACCTTCTCTGTCTACTTAAAAAGCATGAGAAGATCATCTTGAGAGATCATAAAGAGAACTCCTTCACACAGCTTCAGTCCATCAATGATTCTGTGTGTGCTAGTGTTGCAGAAGCAGGGTGTTCTGAGGAACGCAATGCTACACTTCCTGAGCAGTTCAAATGTCCTCTTTCTCTTACCGTCATGTATGATCCTGTTATCATCTCCTCAGGCCACACCTTTGAGAGGATGTGGATTCACAAATGGTTTGATGAAGGTAATGAGTCTTGTCCTAAATCAAGAAGGACACTAGATGACTTCACAATGAAGCCTAACCTAGCCATGAAGGAGCAGATATCAAAGTGGTGTTCCAAACACGGTCTTGATGTTCAAGATCCAACAACAAAGCACACAAAGTCTTCACACAATCTTGACTTCTCCATATCTAGTTTTGGAAGTTCTTTGTGCAACATCCCAGACCTCAGCTGCTTCACGAGTAGGGACTTCAGCTCTAGCTTTTCCACTGATTCACCATCTTACTCTCAGATGGCAAAGGGTGGTTACTTCATGCCAATGCAGACGATAGCTTCTGAATCAGGAACTGAAGTCACAGATTCTAGTCAAAGCGAGGTGGAGATAGAGCCTTTATTTGAACTCGCTAAGCTTCCATGGGAGGCTCAGGTCAAGACCATTCAAGATGTAAGGAAACGTTTTGAGCACAACTCTAGAGCTTTTCAGTCTATGTCACCGAGTAAGTTTCTTGAGCCACTTATCACATTTTTGAAGAATGCTGCTGGCACCAATGCAGACACAATAAAGAGTGGGTTGGATTTGTTGTTGACTTTCCTTAATGGAAACAGAAGGGCTATAGAGGCTTTGGAAGAAGATGTTTTTGAAACATTGTCTCTCTTTTTAGGGTTTGAGTTATTAGTAGTTGAAGGAGCTCTGAATGTACTTGAGGTTCTCTCTAACCAGCCGCACAGTCTCTCCAAGATAATTTCATCAGGCTCCCTCTCTTCTCTTGTGAAGATGGCTGAGTCTGGAGCAGAACATCTCCAAGAACAAGCTATGATCACACTCAAGAACCTGTCCTCAAGCAGTGAGATTTGTTTGGAAATGGTGTCTCTAGGTTTCGTCAAGAAACTCACGCCTTTCTTGCAACAAAGCTTCTTCAGCAAACACTCTATCATCTTTCTGAGGAACCTCTGCAACACTGAGAAAGGTCGTGTTTGTGTAACCGAGACACCAGGCTGTTTAGCTTCAATAGCTGAGTTACTAGACTCAAATGTTCCAGAGGAGCAAGAGAATGCAATCTCCATCCTGTTACAGCTTTGTGTGGAGAAGATAGAGTATTGCAACCTTGTTGTGAGGGAAGGAGTTGATATTTATCCATCTCTTTTCTTGATATCAAATAATGGAACAGAGGAAGCGAAGGTTGGTGCATCTGAATTGCTTAGAGCTCTTGAAGAAGTAGATTTCAACAGAGAACAAGAAGAAGAAGAAGCAACTGCTACAGCTACTTCACAGGTTGTTACTCCAGTTATGCATCAGGATCCTGTAATAACAACACCATCTCCAAAGAAGTCTGGTCTATTTGGACTCAGTTTCTCAATTCTCAAGAAGAAGAAAAGATAGATAAATGCATAAAGCTTAGTTAGGCTGTTTGTTTTAACTTAGTCTTCGGAAAGTTATGTGTTTGTTGATTTAGGTTTGTATGTGTTGATACTAATCCAAAGAGCCTCCTCCATTGATGCAAGAAATGTAGTTGTAATTTGATAGGGAACGTATTATGAGGAATATAGTATGCAATTTGTAAATCATTAACTCATAAAAATGGTCATTTCTTTTAAGTAAACTTTGTCATGTTTGCAACATCTGCAGAGATGGTTATGATACCTAATAATTTAATATGAACATGATAAAGGCTTTGCCAGTAACAAAATGAAATTCCAGTCTAGTGAAAATCTCTATTCCATCCGGATCCGGTGATGGTTTGTTTCCATAAACAGAATGAAAGTACAGTATATGCAAAAATAGAACTGAACCGTCCGGTTCAGCTAATTAGAGATAACCGGGTTTTATTGCTAAACCAATAAAATATCAATATTCTGAAACACTCTGTTTCATCGAGAGGGTTCGACTTGTCTGGCTCAGACGTCGCCACCACAACTCTCCCGCTCACCCACACACACAACATTCGGTGCATCTTTTTATCTCTCAAGAATTATTCTGAAACATCTGTTTCTCATTGTCCGCTTGGTAATATAATAGTTTTAAGGTTGTTCTCTGTGAATCAACCGATGTCTGCTTCATGTGCTCTAACACCGTCTGTTAGAACAGAACTATTATCTAAAAGATCCACCTTTCCTGCTCAAACTCGCCGACCAAGTAAGCTCTAAACACCTTTCAATCAAACTCTCCTTAAATTAAGCTTGAATCACATTGAAAGTTTTGATCTTTGTTCAATGAAAGGGAACAAATGTGAAATCAGCAGAAGGGACTTTGCAGTGAGAGGAGGGATTGTTGCTTCTGGAGTTTCAGTCATGGGTTCTCCTCCTTCACCATCAGCTGCTTCTCAGCCTCTTCAAGGTTTGATCTTGGAAGCTTTTAGTTTTAGATTGTGGCTTGTCTCTTAATTGGGTGATGGTTCTTTTAGGTGGTGAGAGGTTAGCTTTTAAGCCAGAAGGATATAACTTTTGGGAATGGAGAGGTCACAAGATTCATTATGTTGTTCAAGGAGAAGGCTTGCCTCTTGTTCTTATTCATGGCTTTGGTGCTTCTGTCTTTCATTGGAGGTAAGTTCTATCATTTAGATTATGTCCCTCTCTCTCTCTCTCTCTTGATGCTCTAATTGTATAGGTATAACATTCCTGAATTGGCTAAGAAGTACAAGGTGTACGCCTTGGACTTACTCGGTTTTGGATGGAGTGACAAAGCTCTCATAGAATATGATGCCATGGTTTGGACTGATCAAGTTATTGACTTCATCAAAGAGATAGTCAAAGAGCCAACCGTTGTGGTTGGAAACAGTCTCGGGGGGTTCACTGCTTTGTCAGTTGCCGTGGGATTACCAGAGCAAGTCACAGGAGTTGCACTTCTAAACTCTGCAGGACAGTTTGCATCCGAGAGTAGAAAGACAGAGGAAGTTGAAGAAACCGTGATAACCAAGTTTATAGTTAAGCCACTCAAAGAGGTTTTTCAACGTGTGGTTCTTGGGTTCTTGTTCTGGCAAGCCAAGCAACCTTCTCGCATTGAATCTGTCTTAAAGAGTGTAATGTCTTGCTGCCTTTTGTTAGGTTTCTTTAAAGTTTGTTGCTTTGTAATCAAGTTTTGTTATTGCAGGTGTACATAAACGCTGCTAATGTTGATGACTACCTCGTTGAATCCATTTCAAAACCTGCAACAGACCCAAATGCTGGAGAAGTTTACTACAGGTACTACAAAACACCTACTCTGTTTTGATATATAAAGAGACCTTGACCTTACTGTTGTTTTTGTTTGTTAAACCTCTTATTAGATTGATGACAAGGTTCTTAACGAACCAGAGTAGATACACTTTAGATAGTGTTCTAAGTAAGATGACTTGCCCGCTACTGTTGGTTTGGGGTGATCTTGACCCTTGGGTTGGTCCTGCTAAAGCCGAGAAGATCAAAGCGTTTTACTCAAACTCATCGTTGGTGCATTTACAAGCAGGGCATTGCCCTCATGATGAAGTCCCTGAAGCTGTAAACATAGCTTTGTTGGATTGGTTGTCTAATGTAGTTTCAAAGCCATCATCCCCTGAAGTCTCAGAGGTGTAAAGACTCTTTTTGCTGAGGAAGTGTATAGTTTGTAAATACTTTGTTACCAATACTTCTTGGATTATATAATTTAATATGATCAGGATTCTGATTTTAGATCAAAGATTTAAACAATATATTTTTCTTGAATCATCAATAACAAAAAGAAAAAAAAACTTATCTCGGTAACATTATAAACTTATAGGGTCAAATAAGATGAATCAGTGACTGGGTAATTTGAATAAAAGTGTGTATTATAGGTCATTTTCATATGATTTTGATTTATACAAAATTTAATAAAGGGTCCTACGATTATTACCTAACCTGCTTTATTTTGTCAATACCTAAGCTAAAAGATATCTTGTCTTATTTAAAATATAATAATTAGTTACGAAATGGTCGTATGAATATTGAGTGCTGCCATTCCAAAGTGGCCAACATAAGGACCCTTCTCTTCTTTTTTTTCTTAAATAGATTTTATATTCCATTCATTTTCAAACTCAAGAACGATGAAAATTATTTTAAAATTTCTTTTGATTTATTATCTGAACAGTTTAATCTACAAAATAGTAGAATTACATGTTAACACGATTATGCGAATGATTTTTAAAATTCTGTGAAAATGGTGAAAACTGTGCGATGCAACATGAGAGAATTTTTCTTCATTAAAGTTGTCTGAATAAAATAACATTCAAAATCGTGTTAACCGATACTTTAACATGAGAGATTTTTCTCCTGCTTCATATAACAGTTTCTTAATTCTTTTGTTTTGTATGCATGAGTTTCAGCATCTAAACATGAATAGAATCTCCTTATCATAACTTTACCATGTACAGACTAAATCAAAAGAAAAGATTACGCAAACAGAGAAAAAGTGGTCCTAATCAATATTCAGATTGCTAAGTTGTAGGCTGTACTGTGGACAAAAGTGAAGGAATCCAATCAAGTTAGAAACAGAAAAGATGAAAAGAGACTTAATACTTATAAACCTAGTATTTGATCTTTATATAGATATTGTTAAACAAAAACATTGTTAATACATATTTATATACTTATAATCATATCGACCACGATCTGAGACAAATATATGCGTGTATCTTAAGTTAAAGTTTAATACTATTTTCAATGATACATCTAAATCTCAGCTTGTTGGTCAAGATATATATATATATATATATATATATATATATATATATATATAAATCAAATGAAAATACAGTTAAAATAGTTGGATTACAATTAAATAGAGTTCGAAATATTTAATTGGCTAGGCAAAAACCATATATGATTATCTCTACTAAACACATTTATGAAGGTACTAGTGATTAATAGAGATACAATATAACCAACTAACTATTTTAAGTATACATCGGAGTTAGTGTTGACTGTGAAGGTTAATCAGATACACCGATCATGAGATTGTGCAGGGATGAGTAAGTGAATCTTGTAAGTAGGTCAAGCATGGTTATCACCTTCATCATTATGTTCGGACCATAATAGTTAAGCACGTTTTCGTTAACATTTTTATTTTAACATGTACAGACATTTAAGATAAGATTTATCATGTATTATTTTATAAGATTTACCTTATAATTTGTTTATAAGGTTTATAATAACATATAGATTTATCTTATACTATGCGTGCTTTACAAGACACGCACTCATAAGAAAGCATACGTATATGCGCACACGTTTACATTTGCATTTAACATGCTGGTATTCAAATACAAATCAAACCGATTAATTGGATTTGAATATTCAGAGTTAAATCTAGGCTGAATAAGAACTGAATTGATAAATAAAAACAAACATAAAAAAAAAAATTAATTGATCTATATAGTATCTAAGAGTCTTTCGAATTTTTCGATTAGTGTCTAAACATTAAAAATAAGAAAAAATGCAAGAGTAAAATAGAAGGCATAGATGATCGCTCATGAAAGACTTTCGAAAACAATTTGAAAACCCAACTGTTCTACTAATACTATTCACTTAATCATAATTATTCTGTAATCTTTGTTTTACTTGTCAAAAAGTTGTTCGGTGTTATTAACTACTGGTTTAATGTTTTTGAATTCGTTTTTGTCGTAACAGCAGTAATGTAACTGATATTCACTCATAACTAAAATAATTATATTAACTGATCACTAGTCATCATCCACATTAACTGATGCTATAACTCAACATGGGAAAAGCCAACTACCAAATTTATGAAGAAACTAAATCGTTATATAAAAGCTTGATTTTTTTTGTAAACTAGACCATCTGATTAAAAACAACTAGTCCATATATTTTGCTTTATTACAAATAAGTAGATCTGATTTTTTAAAAATAGAGCAAACTCGATTATGAAAACTGTAATAGTGGGTTAAATTCAAAAGAATAACTGTATTATCAAAATCAAACTTTGTTAATAATGATAGATTTAAAGACTAGAAATAAACATCGATATCGACTGGAAGAGGGCAACGACGAGTAATAATCATATGAGTTGTCAATCGAAGATAGAATTCATTTAATAATGGATCAAATGAAATCATGCATGCCACGAAAAAAATCTCGTTATCGAGTGTGAACACTAAACGTTACGCGAGTGATTGAATAGGTATGATTCTAATTTATTAGGGTCATAATTCGTGTAATGAATATATCTATGTGTGTATATCAATATTGTATATGTACCATAATTGTGTCGCACTTAATTATTAGAAGATGCGGTGTAATGAATATAAATTTCGATTTGCAAAAGACTATATATATGATCCCACTACAAGAAAACAAAGCATTTACTAGGAAATTTTACTAGGAAAATTCTTCCTCGTAAATTTACTAAGCCTTTACTAGGATCTTACGAGGAAAGCAAATTTCCTCGTAAGCTCCTCGAAAACTTACGAGGAAACAATTTCCTCGTAAGACCTTAGTAAATTTAGGAGGAGCTTACGAGGAAAAAGTACTTTTCCTC